ATTTACTTTTACTTCCTCCTTCTCTCACAAATGTGTCCAGCTGATTGGGTGTCTGTGTTAACAGCTGTCAGACTATCATGGAGCCGGAGGATTACAGTAAGACAGAAACCCTGACAGTGGAAGATGAAGATAATCCCTGAGGAGGAGGATTACCTTTATATTCTTCCCCTGCTGCTGCTGCTGCAGAGAGGAACATTAAAGTCGCTCTTTATTTCACTAACCAATTTAGTTTGATTATCACTATTTTTCCCTAGCTGCTGTGCTCATTTTTCATTATTCTCTCTTTTTTTGGTAAATTGCTTTCAAACGGTTTTACAGCCATAATTTCTTTACACTGTATTCATTATTTGCATCAGAAGCTGTAAGTGAAACACGCTGTGATATTTACTGTAGGCTGTGAGCAGATCTGGTGTAGTTTCTGCTGCTGGCCACCGGAGGGCGAAGCAGGTCTGTTAGAAAAGGATGAGACCGCAGGTGGAGCAGCAGCACGAGTAGTAGTGGTTCTCAAACTGTGGCTTTTACTTCAATAAAACTAAAATTGGATCCTTTTTTAATTTTTAATGATAATTTTATTGATCATGATGAAAACTGTGGGCTGGTGGGAGTGAACGTTTTTGGCTTTGAGTTTGAGGACCACAGGTTTAGATCAAGCATCAGCCTCTGGGGATGAAAATTAGAAGAAGCTGACAAAAGTTGCAGTTTCACTAATCACCACCTGGGGTTCATTAGTAAACAAACATTTTTACAGCCCAATGTGAACATTTGTTTTGGCCTCTATTGATAGCTTTATTGAAACTCTTTCTTACTTAGGACCGATTAGCAGATATGTGTACTTGCATGATCTTCTCATTTACTTGAAGGATGTGGCTTTCTTGGATAACTCTGTTGAACTGTGTTCAATCGTCAAGTGTGATAATGTCCAGCTCCAAGAAAACCGACCTGATGGTGTTCAAATCTGATCTTTTATACAAAGAGCAGGTCAGCTGATCACATCATGTGCACTAAGAAAACCTACTGGAGCTCATATTAGAAAT